GGACTATCAGAAGCGGCATTGCTTGGACGGCTACTGATACCTGCCAACTTACAGCAGCTTGACGAGTCTTCTCAAGATTAACTTATTCAGCCTTATTCCCCTGATCTGCCTTCCCCAAGCAGTGCGTCGCATGCAGGAGCTGGAGCTGTGGAAGTGCTTCTGGTATGATATTCTGCGTTAATACTATACATGGGTTACCAAGTTTATAGTGAAACTGCGATAAGCTGAAAAAAACCGATTATACCTTGTCTTGAAATGTGTGTTAATTATTGCTTTTATTTTTAGGAATAACGCTACCGTAAAACCCACGACACTGCAAGAGACTTTGAAAGCCTGCAGCTCGAGCCTCTACCCCAACGTCCACACAATTCTGCGCCTCCTGTTGATCACCCCAGTCACAAGTGCAACTGTTGAACGTAGCTTTGTGAAGAATGTTTATCGCAGCACCATGGGAGGTGAACGTCTAAATGCACTGTTGCTACTCTTTATTCACAAAGGCATACCTTTAAATTATAACGCAGTCGTTGACGTGTGCGCCAACCGAAACCAGAGAAGGATGACATTTATCATTCTGAGTTTCGTAATGTGGTGAATATTCTTGTAGTGATGCCTGCTGCATCGTGTTATGCAGATCGCGGATCATTCAGTGCGTTGCGCCTATGTGCAAAGGCCTCTTGAAGGGTTAAGTTTGCGCCATGTAGAATTAGTAACGCAACGGATTCACGTATACAAAATATTATTAGGATAGTTTGTCTCCGTTGATGCCACGTCATGCATGAGAGAGCGTGCTTAGTGTTGTAAATAAGTTAGGGACTGGAGCTGGTTTGACCTGCGAGGTCTGAGTCGAGTCTCGTGATTGACACTTGAAAAACGTGGACAAGAAAGGAATCGAAGAGAACGGAAAGGAGTCTAGCGTGGACATTGATCTATCTCTGTATTACGGAAAATATCTATCGGAACACGGAATTAACTCTTAGAACAACATTGTCATATCTCGGAATCTATCAAAGGATCAAAATAAAGAGTATGGATCGATACAATACTTAGTATTAAAACGAACACAGATAGGACAGAGGGCCATTGCTTTAGCTTTGCCTGGATTTAACGATCTTGGACGTTCGGTGACCCCCTCTTTTCTTTCCAGAAACAGATTTTATTAACAATTATCTCATTGTCCAAAAAGGAAAAAAAAAAAATGAATGTGGGAAGTTAAAAAAAAAAAAGATTTTAAGATTTCTGTCCACGGGACATTGAATCCTGTCATATTGCGGCTGCAAGGCGCGTGAAACTATGGTCGCTAAATGCGAACTTGTTCTTTAAGGTACCTCACCAGTTGACTAAATTCACTTAATAGGTCCACTTAATATTTGGCAGAGAAAATTTCACTTCAAAGATCTAATTGCAATAGTTTTGGGCTTACAGACACTGTGGCCTTATTCGTGAACGAAGCTCGATTTTTGCAGCTGTAGGATGTTCTTCCAGGCTTGTTCTATCCAAAACGAAGTCGGTGAACCCATGTCTTTTTTTACATTTCTGACATAACTAACTCGTCATCTTACAATGGTAAAAGTCTCAGAAAAAAGTCAATGTTGGAAAATTTCTCTCTTAAACGAAGTCCATGACCCCGGGCGTTTTCCATTTACCAAAAAATTCCGTAAATCCCGGTTGGGATGTAAATGGAACACGACTTTTCGGTTCGTTCCATTGGAAATTTTCCGGAATAAACGGAATTCCTGAAAAGGTAGTCCCGTTTTCCCGGTGGAAACTTCCCAATGGAAAATTTGCGTTCCATTTACAGATTTCTCGTCTTTATCACCAGTTCCATGCCTTTCGCGGTCTTTTAAGCGGCCAGGCCTCCCTTCAGCTACCTCGTGTTTCAACAAAAATGGCAGCTGATCAGGGTCAGTTTTCCGGAAGCTTTTTGCAAACAAACTTTCAGGGCTACTACGAGTGCTCTGCCTACCACGTTCTAACGCCAGATCTAGAAAATTTACTGCAGCACGAATGTGCTGCATATAAAAGTGGTAAGTAGAAGTTCTTGCTTCTTCGAAGCGTTTTTTTGCCGGTGCACGTTTCCCGCGTAAAATGTTGCATGAACAACTCTGAAAAGTTCTTTTGTAATTCTTCGTTCACAGGTGAACGTCGAGGCCGCTGAAAAGATATCTACTGGATTATCTCCTGAATTAATCAACTCTCTTCCTCTATAGAGGCTTGTAACATTTCGCACAAAAACAACATCTGACGGGCCTCATTGGCCTCCATTTTGAATATTCGCAGGAGATTCAGAGAAGCGAGAGAGAGGGGCCTGTGAACGAATGGGACTTGTGACAAATGGAACGCACTTTTCCCAAACGGAAATTCCCAATAGAAATTTTCCGAATTTTTTTTGTAAATGGAAACGCCCCCCCGTTTCTTTTTTCATTTCTGAAACAAGTAATTTATTGTCTGTCCCCAGTCCCCAGAAGTTTGAAGAAAATCTATTCAGTAGAACATTTTCGCTCGAACCTAACATTTTACTCGGTGGGGTGCTGACATGTAGGACTTTCGCGCATTGTCGTCCTCATAGCCCTTGTCGCCTCTATTAGCCGGCTAAGAGAAGCGAGAATGGACTTTTGCGCCGAAGAACGCTCTCACAAGTCCCGCGGGGGCACTGGGTTACAGGGAACAACCACGACGTGTTACATGAAGCCGAAGTTAGCGAGGCATCGAACCGATTGTTCAACGTGTTGTCTAGATGTAAACTTAGCTGTTTTCCATCCTTCTGGGACGCAGGTAATTATTAAGCGTAAGAATTATTGTTTTTCCCTTTCCCAGTGCATTCACATTGCACAATGGGAGCTTCGGCATTCCGTTTTTTAGCAAGTTCGTCACCTTGAATCTACAAATATACGATAGAACATTCCTGACCGTGGAGATTACAGGAGCTCATTACTTGCTCTTATTCGTATTGTGATTGTTATTTTTCGGAAATTGAAGTCTTGCTGCAAATTTTAGATGTGTTGTCACGATGTATTTTATGGCTTAAAATATCTTACATATTGAGCCGGCTTTCTGATAGTTGTAGTCAACTGTGAGGATAGTCGAGGAGCTTCGCGCGAGGGATCGTGTTACATTTGCTCCAGTTCTCAATCAGTGTTCCTTTTTCTTGCGTATAATCTGCTTATATTTATTGTTTAAATGTTAGACTAGACAAGGAAACCTACATCGAGAATTTTCAGTTAGGTCGTATAAGCCTGTAAGGGTATAAATCATGTTCTTTACTCAATATTTGCGAAGAAGTAAACATGCCGCAAAATACAGTCTTCAGTTTGTACGGTTAAAGAAGAAAGATAAAGGAAAAATACTTTTTTGTTCTCAGTATTTTCGTATACGCAAACACGCTGCAAAATAGTCTTCAGTTTACAGAGGGGAAGGTCAAATTTTGATTTGTGCAAATTTTATAGATAACAAGCTTGAGATATAATAAAAGAGATGATTTGCTGATTAAATTTCAGGGCTGTGCTGTGTTAGGTGACATTTCTCTTGTAAATGGAGAGAGTACAGGCAGGTAATTAAAATACTATATGCTGCACAAAATAAACCACAGCACGGGGATGCCACCATACATGTAAATGGTCAAACTGAAAGATTATCAAGAAGTTTACTTTTCTTCTTTTTTTCCAGGAGGGGGACATTGGGGGGTTCTGAACACCACAATTCTATAAAAGAATCTGGCAAATATGGCAATGTTGTCCCCTCCCCCCCCCCCAAAAAAAATAAAACAAAATACCACAATATCTCAATACCAAGTCAAAACTCAATGTCATATTGACAGGCCTTCTGATATCTAAGAAATAGAAAACATGTACCGTGTTTCTATAGATTTATAGAAACACAAGTGGAAGTTTGGGAGAACAAGAAATGCTATGGGAACACAAGCCACAGGTGAGTGTTTCCACAGGTTTTTTGAGTTCTCCCAAACTTTCAGGAGTGTTTCTATTAAACAGTTAGATTATTCACTCTCTCTTGATAGTTGACAGGGTGCAGCCCGAGTCAACTATCATGTATAGAAATCAAGAGCTAATAATCTAATTGCTTTAGTATAAATCTACTAGTCGTGCAAAACTTTATCTAAATCGTGTTCACAGACACTTTGGAAACACCAAGAAGTGGCCATCATTTTGTTAACAAGGGCACACTGCTATGCTACTCACTATCTATCACAGAATAGACAGTGAGTAGTGTACCCAATCAGAGTGCGGTATTCCTGATAGAACGCCAGTAGATTTATACTAAAACTTGATAGAAACATGGAGAATATGTTTTCTATTTCTTTTAGAAAACACCACAATGAAAAAAGGAAAACAACTAAATAAATACAATAATAAAAACAATAACTTTGATTATCAAAATGTAAATTCTCTTTGCTTGCGCCATCATTACATCAACAGCTTGAGCTAGTTCTGTGTTTTTAGAAACACGATATTTAACCAATCAGCACATTTTTGTAGGACTCTTCTAATGCGCAATGGTGCGATTTCCCACAATCTACATGGATCGCATCCGGTTGCACAATCTATGGAGAATCGTATAATTCACGAAAAATTGCACAATTTGAACAAAATAAACCATCAATTAATGCTTCATCTGGAAAAAATGCCATATCTACACATTGTTTCAAGATGATTTGCCTTTGAAAAAAGCCTCCAAAATCTTTTACAACCTTCGATAAACAAGTGAAGTTCAAGACGTTTCTTGGATGTCTGGGAACTGGCGCTAGTTTTTGTCAGCAAAGAATTGCCTATTGGTGTAATGTAAACAAGTTCCTTCTTTGCTTGGACCAATCAGAATTGCCAGTCTATATTGATCCAAGTGACGTTTGTTTTGTTGGCAAAATGTAGCGTCTTTCATGGAATTTGAAATAAACGTCCTCCATGGATAAGTTTGTAGTGAAAGCGCCTGCTGTTTTTTCAACTGAAAAGACTCATTCACACGAACAGCAAAAGATAGAGCTAGAAATTATCCTCAAGCCTTCCATGTGGACGATAGGCTGAAGATGCAGCATCGTGATCAATGATCTTAAGATAAAGATCTTAACATTGATGAGATCCCTAATTAACTAGATGTCTCTTGTGTCGTGCAACACACAAACTAATTCAAATGAATATATGAAAGATCATATATTTGAACTGTGGAGAAAGATATCAAGACATAATTGATCATTACAGTTCTGCACACAACTTAGCAGCTGTGAAATTAAAGCCTGAAAAAAATTCAGGCCTGAATATTTTTCGGACTTTAATTTCACAACTGCTTATTAAAAAATAAGTTGTGTGCATAACTGCGATGATCAATCATGTCTTCACACAAACTAATTGATGACAAATGTAAATTTCTGTAGGAAATTATAAGTTTATTAGCTAAAAAATGCCTTACAAGTCAGAAAAGCGATTGCAAAATTACATTGATCTCTTAAATTGTCACATTCTGGACTATTCCATTTCTGAAAGCAATTTCTATCTTCTGAAGCTGAAGGCAAAACGGGAACATTACACAATGAACACTGCCATGGAGTTTTCATTTGTTTTTTTTTTCAGGTCATAACCAAGCTTACAATTCTTATAGCTGTACAACTGATACAATAACAGGAAAACCACATTAAAAACCCAGTGCATTCACTATTTTTTTACCATAATATTTTGGAGCATTAATTTGCTCTGAAGTGAATCAGACAACACTCCCTCACTGCTTTCACTTGGAACTTCTAGAATTACTGCAGCTCCAGAAACTTCCACAGTCTGGCAAATCAGCTGGTGAAAAATTTTCATTTAAACTTAGATTATCACATAATCTTTTTCCATTGTTGACAATAGGCCTTTTTACAGTTCCTGGCACCATCCTGGAATAGTAACGGTGCAAACATCATGTTGAGGCTTGCATTGACCTGGGAGGTACAAACATAGCAAAATCACAGCTGTTTCACTAACCTGTTTCACATTGTTTGTTATATCTTCGCTTAAAATGGTCATTGAATATAAAGAGAAGGAAATTTTGACACTGGAGGATATACAGAACCTCACAGTTAAAGATCTGAGGAATATTTTGAAGAGCAATTCTGAAAATGCTGGCAGAATGAAGGTGGGGCTGGTTGTAAAAGTGTGCACATTGCTTGTGTGAGACGTGGTTTTAAGGTCAGCGAGAATACCAAGCAAACTGCTGAAAACTGTGCTGAAAACAGTGGCCATTTCAAATACGATGAAATAATGAGACGAATCTCTGCTCTTGGATGGTCAACAGACTTGTGACCGCTTCCAGAACTGAACTTCATTCAGCTCTACGATTACCTTGTCGTGTCTGCACGCAAGTACTGCCATATTTTGTTGAAGGGCACACATTACAAAAAGCTAAAATCGTGCCAATTTTTCTTTGAAGGAAATGTGAAATGACTGGAAAGCAAAGTCTTTCAAGGCCAGACCTATGTGAAAGCTAGCGTAGTTCCATCAATGAAAAAGAATCCGTAGAGAGTTATTGTGGAGTTTTCACCCCAGAGTGACATTTTGCAAGGGGCATGCATGTGCCCGGCTGGACTTGGTTTATATGGAAAAGGTAAATGCAACCACATTGGAGGACTGTTGTTTGTGATTGAAGATTTTACGAGAAGGGGATTACAAAAACATGCCAAGCCTTTGTCATGTACATCATGGCTGTCTGTGTGGGTTGTGCCCCGCAACCAAAGTGTTGCAGCTAAACCTCTCGACCAAGTGCTAATCAGAAAGATACTCGTCTTCAGTCAAAGGTGGAGGCAGTGTGGCCAAGTGGTTAGGGCACTGGACTTGAAATCTGGAGGTCGTGCTTTCAAGTCCCGCTCTGACCACTTCACTGGAGTTGTTTCTCGGTAGACCCTAGTTCAACTCCTTGGTCATGCTTGTAAATAGCCAACTGGTCTGCCTCCCACCAGTTGGGATTTTTAACCATGTTATGTTCATTTGCATTATTTGTTTAATCATTTGGTTTCATTGGCCCTGAAAAGCCCCGTTGGGGGAGTGGTCAATTAAGATATTTATTTATTTATTTATTTATTTATAAGGTTATAAAATTTGATCCAAGATTACCAAATCAGCGAAAAAGAGAGAGAAACAGTTTCAAGATTTTAAGTGAAAGTCTTCAAAATTGTCTCCCTGCCAGTTCATTTTTCTTTGTTCCATGACATCAAGTCAAACTGTGTAGAGGAGTCAGACTCTGAAGAGACAAACGAGGCACCAGAGTCTGCCTTTTACAGACAGTTACGATATTACTACTGACCACTTTAAATCTTTGATTGATTCCTATGTTTCCGGCTCAACAATCACCCAAGAAGAGATAGTTGAAACGGAGAGAACAACTCGAGGACAAAACAAAAACAATCTTTGGTTTGAAAAGAGGAAATCTCTTTTGACAGCTTCAAACTTTGGAAAAGCAGCTAAGAACAAAGTGGAACCTTCAAATAAGTTGAAATCAATCCTTTACTCGAATTTTACAACAGATACTACTCAATATGGTGTCAAAAGTGAAGCAAAGGCAGTGAACCTTTATATGAGGGAAATGAAAAAGGATGGCATTGATGTTACTGTTGAGGAAATTGGGCTACTGGTGTCCAAGGACAAGCCATGCCTGGGAGTAAGCCTGGACAGGATTTTAACCATTAAGGATACACAAAAAATGGGGAATGGAAATTAAATCCCCTTTAAGTAAAGCAGGCATGACTATTGAAGAAGCCTGCCAAAATAAAACTTTTTTTCTGGAGAAACTTGCTGGAACTGTAAGGTTGAAACAAAATCATGATTATTATGTACAAATTCAAGGGCAGCTCTACTGTTCTAACTTGACTACCACGGAGTCTGCAACATCCATTTCCTGAGCTAAAACTAATTTATTCTGGGTTTGCCATGGAGGAGCTTTTCAAGACTTTTTTGGCACGCTCCATGACAACTGGGATGGCTCAGCACCTTAAAACAAAAATACAATAAAAATCAAAATAATTACATGACCATGATAAATGAACATGTTGTGGTGCTAATGGTCGTTTTGATAAAGTTATGAAAAATACTAAACTGTAATGTCAGTTAAACTGTTTTTGATCTCAGTACATTTATATGACACTAATGAATAAGGTACAATGATGCACAACAGTAATCCACTGGTATCCAAATATTGTATTGGGGTAACAACTATGATATTTTCCTTCGATGTGAAAAGCCAGCCATCAGTCAAAAGCTATATAATGTTACAATTTTAAATGCTTTATGTACAAAGGAACAAATAAACATTTTGCATAATGCAGCTGTTATGAAATATTTGCCATGATGTTTTTGTATCTGTTTTTGCAGATCACATACCTTTCTTTGAATCTCAGTGGCCTGACAATTTTCTTATAATATCTCCTTGTCTAAAATGTTCACTGCAAACAACAGTTGCAGCAGTTACATTGAAGTCATCCTTTCCATGTTGCCACTTTGTAAGGTTACACCAGCGATTTCTGGTCTTGGGGTCGGTTGGAAAACTGAAAAAATGGTTACCAGCAGAAAGCCCTTTGTCATTGTAATAGCAGTTGTGACAGCCTGATTGTACGAGAGCCAGACTCAACCATTTAACTTTAGATGCAAAGGATCAGTAGCTTTTTTTTTTAAACAACGCTGTCCAACTTGCCACGTCCTCAATGTGCCAATGCTGTTTTTTTCAGAGGCGTAGTGAGCATGATCTGGCTATCCAGGAGCAGTTTTGGTTTGGGCTCCAAGCATGTCAAATTAGCGGCCAAGAGGTGCGAGAAGTCCACATACTTGCTGGTGACGATTTGAGCAACCAGCTTGGATGGGATGGGAGAGAATCCTGGGCCTACCATGAATGGCTATTCTGTCAAAATACTTACATTTTGACCAGAGAGAGGAAGGGCCCCACCAATGCGCGTTGCCCCAACATGAATGGCGCTCATAGAATTAGAATAAGCCATCGATAACAAGAGGGAAGGTTGAGGTGCAGCAAAAGTGGAAACAAATGAAGGCACAACAAAAGGAACAGGCCAACCTATAGACTCACTGCACTGCTGTCAGTACCCACCTACCCAGCTGTCGGTGAAGTGTGAGCTTGAAGCACAGCTTGAACAGATTGGGCCACAAGCAATACAATTGCTGCGATGTAGGCGTAATGGGTCTGGAAGACACAACTGCGGTTTCTAAAGTCACAGTATTGCTATAAACTAGTGATGGCTGTGATGATGTTTCAGCCATGTGTTCACCCAACAAGGGTGCACTTAAGCAGCAATCGATGACAGTTGTGAGACCTTGACCAGGAACAGTGCTGCCTCCATACTGTATTTGTTTGATGACAGGTCATTGTGAATTTAACCACCATGAATAAAGAAGCACACAAGAACGATGAAGAAAAACACGCTACAGGCACGAATGGCACTCAAGACAAACTGCACGTTTTCACATGGCTGGCAAGAAAAACGTGTGAGCCCTGCAAAACCCCATATGAGACCCCACAGAGCATGGTCACCCTGAGAGATAGCTGGCCAGAATTGGCTCAAGTCAAACTTTGCCTAAATTACATTTAGCCACATTTAAACATGTTAACTTTGTAGCTTTCTCTTTCTCTGTCTTCACAATTCTAACTTCATAAACTCTTCTGATGTCTTCCATGGCTCTTCTGCTAATTGAAGGATGTAAGGAAATCAAGGAAAATTACTGGAAAAGCGTTGATTTCCTCTTCAGATGATGTAACAAGTAGTTGAAAAAATCTGTAGCAACAAAAGATAGGTTTTCCAGATCTCTTTCACCAGTTTCATCTTCCATGACTTTAAACTCCTGGATTTATTCTCAGCAACTTTCTCAATGTAACTGTAGTTATTTCAAGGGAAACAACATGTTTTTAACTACGGAGACCATAATGACAGTAAACAAAGTATGTTTTACATAGGTTTATAAAAAGTGTGATTATTATTATAAGAAACATGACAGGTGTTTTCCATATGATTATTCTACTTATCAATTTTTTGTCACCACAGTAGTAGTAGTAAGTTTGTTTGTACAGTGTCTACAAGATTTGCGAGATATTACTTGCGAAGTTATTGAAGCCAAGGCATATTTGAGGCAAAACTTTTGAACTCTTTCTTGAATTTGCTTTTTAAATGGGGTTGGTGTCATATTTTTGTATAAATAAGTTGTCTGCTTAAATCCTCCCTGCTGTTCATTAGTAGCCTAAGCAGCAGAGGTGGAAGCTGTTTTAGTGCTGGTGCACCATGTGGATTAACCTTTTTGAGGTGGCCCTTGTGAATATTGTTCCCTGAGGTATGATGATGTATTTGCAGTTCAAAATAATGTACAGAGTGGTTCTTTGTTATGTATTTTCCTTCAGGAAGGTCCATCTCGTAATCGTCAGCTGTAGCTACTATGGCTAAGTTTATAATGAAATTTTAAAACAAAATGAGAGCTGACTTGAGCGATATGGGAATTGATATAAAAAGGTTAAACAGCTCCCAATGAGGGTTAAGAATTCTGGAACAATAATGAGGTAGAAATCAGGTTTTCCTTTGAATGTGGTTGGTTAAAGGCAGTCAGGTGAGCCAGAAGATGACCAGACTATAGCACGAGAAACATGAACTAAAAGGGTTTCGTGGGAACAACCTGGAGCTGTCTGGTCCCTTGGTGTACAACTATTCTGGCAAGTCGTGTAATTTTGTTTGTCCCTTGGCTAATATTTAAACATGTTACAACCTTGTTCCGATTTTTTTTTAAAAATGTATTTTCACACTATCCAGCATGGAAACACTTATAAAGGTGTTTCCTCCAGCTTGGTTTGAGAGGCATGATGTTTGGTTTACAGAAGTTAACAATGACACCATATTGAATTAATTAAGAAAATAGATATCGTCAATTCTTACCTACATACTTAATTAACTTAGTGATTTTCCTTAATAATGGCGTTGTCCGACTTTAATTAGTAGTTGAAATTGTTTCCTCAAAAATCTTCCATAAATCTTTAAACAAATTAGTGTTATTTGATTTGAAATATTTGTGTTTTTCAGTTTCATATTTAATTACCAAAATCCTTGTGAAGTGGCTCAAGGAAGGTAATGTTTCTTTACATTGACAAGTCCACAAGAGAGATTTTCCTAGAACTACTATATAATTAAATAGATCCATCTCCTCCTCAAAAGACCCAATTTGAGATTTGATTGACATGGCCAATGTCAAATCTTTAGAAAGTGTTCCCCCTGCCTATTGTTTCATTCTCTTGTCAAACAGTCCCTGGAGATATATTACTCCCTTGTGTGAGCCCTGAGCTTATCCATGGTTTGATTGTCAGCAGAAGATGAAACATAATCCCAAGTCTCATACAGGGCTCCCCCTTTTCCTTGATCTATAATTTCTAATACATTCTTGGTTTCTTGCCTTCTTTTTAGTGCAGAGCGCACTATTGGGATGGTTTGGGGGCTGACGTTCGCTGTGGCAATAAGGTTGGGGTTGCACTTGAGACAAATATTTGAAATGTCTGAAGATGTCGCAGACAGTTTTGTCTCAGAACTTGTCTGAGACAATTAAAATGTTGTCGTTTTGTGGTTGCACTGTACAGACAATCAACAGAGACATCAACATAAAGTAAACATAAGACCTGTCACTTCTGGCACTTTTTTTAATTTCACCACATAAATTATTATTTCCCACTCAATGTGTAGAATAGAACAGCTGCAATGAATCCACGCCAGTTCGCTCTGCTTCTCAATGTAAATGCAGCTAACGATGCTCAAAGAGTCATTCTTCTTCCCTCATACAAATGTGGGTACTTCAAGCGCAACTTCTTTTTTGGAACCAATGTCGAAGAAGACGTCATGGACGTTGCTTTCCCTGTTTTTAGGTTTGCCAAGACCACAACAGTCGTGGTTTGACATACATTATTTTGATCCTACAATTCCAGGAGACTATTTCAGGCGTCAGCTCCGCTTAAACAGAAATACGTTCTTGGTGCTATTGAATATTCTTCGCCTGCGCCTGAGAAGACAAAACACACGCTTGCGTGACTGTGACACCGGAAAAACTTTTGGCACTGGGAATGTATCGCTTGGTGCATGAAAATTCCTACATAACGATAGGCCCAAATTTAACGTAGGAAAAAGCACAGTTATTGAGGCGGCCCAAGATGTTGTTGAAGCATTATGCAACTTAAAAATGAGTACATCTAGTTTCCTTTGACAAATAGAGAAATTCTGGCCACTTGAGAAACTTTTGATGATTTAATGGATCTCCCAAACGTGGTAGGAGCCATTGATGGAACACACATAAAAATTAAAACTCCCAAGGAAAGCGGACCTGATTATTTTAGTCAACTGCAGCAGCACAATGTTGTTTTCCAGGCAGTAGCTGACAGAGAAAAATGATTTTGGGATGTCGCTGCAAGCTTCCCATGCACAATTCCAGAGTCTTCAGAAATAGTTCACTTTATCAAGGAATTACCAATAATGAGCTGTTGCTCAGTCCAACTGTGAGAGTTGGTGGGAGGGAGATTTGACCACTTTTGTTAGGCGACAGTGCCTATCCCCTCTCTACGTGGTTATTAAAACCGTACCACGAGGGTACGAATGACCCAGAGGAAAGCAACTTTAACAAAGAACTTTCATGTGCAAGGGTATCAGTAGAGTGTGCATTTGGTATACTGAAAGGACGTTGGAGAATTCACCAAAAACAACTTGATAGTGATATAGCATTGACCAATCAGATCGTCACTGCATGTTGTGTGCTCCACAATTTTTGCATTGAAGCTCGAGATTTATGGGATGATGATGACAACGATGACGATGGAAATGATGACAATGTCCCTGTCCAAGATGGGAGTGCTGATGGTGCGGATTTAAGAGACTTTTTAAAGAACTATCTTTGGAATTTGTAGGAAAGGAAGATATAAAAAGATTATTGACATGATGCTGTTTCAGTTAAATGAATTTTTTTATTGCATAACACTTTCATATTTCTATGATTCCGAATTATGGGTAAGAATATAGCTTATAATTTCAATGAAGAAAAGTTATTGTTGACAATAAAAGAACTTAATCGAGTTCATTTTTTTTACAACATCAAAACAGAAAGATACTAAGTGATTGTTATTACTAAATGACATTTTTCTTTAAAAGATAAACCAATTTCAAGTGATGTAATGAAACTATATGATTTAAAAAGAGTAACTTTTATCATTTCAATCACATTTCGAATCACTCAACAATATGTAATTTTTTAAATTAAGACAAAAGAGAGCCTTGCAACAATTATTACATTGAAGAGATCATCGTTCTGAGTCAGTACTTGTCTTTCGATGATTGCATTGCCCGCGTAAAATTTTTCATAAATTGATCCATGACCTGGAACTGCTGCGCTTGATTTTTTTTCCATAGACTCTAGCACCCCAGAAATTGTCTCCCTGCTCCTGTAACTTCTTCATACTCTAGTGGAAAAGAGCATCACCTTCCTCTTGTTCTTTCCATGGAGCTTTTGCACTTTTGCACTTTGACGCGCTTTCTTTCATCACGTTGACTCTTTCTTTCGTTCTTTCGCTTTAGACCAAAGGTGGTGAGAGGCTCTTTGAATTGTTCATCATCTACACTTCCTTCGTCTTCTGGTCCTCCCTCCTTTCCATTTGAATTAGAGAAACTCCAAGAAGATCCTGGCGCGGATTCTTTAATGTGACTGAATGTCACGGTGTCACAACATCCAAGAACGGAGTCGATCTCATCATAAAATGGTGAGGTTTTTCATTTGTCCCCTAGTCTTGTGACGGTTGTGGTCTGTGGTGTCCTTGTACCTATCTTTAAGGTATTTCATTTTCTGTTGGCATTGGGCGCTGGTAACTTTTCGGATCTTTGAAATTTCCTGAGCAATCTCCTCCCAGACTTGTCTTGCATGCCACGACTCTAGTCTCGTGTGCTTGCCATACCATAACTGCACAAGAAGCTTCT